CCGTCCCAGATTGAGAGTTCGTAATACTAAGGCATAGGAGCTGGTCGCCAAGTCGGAAATCAGCCCCATGCGAGGACTCGATCTACGCTCCCCCCCCCCCCAACGAACGAATCCTGTAGACGCCACTGCCTAGGGTCATCGCCCTGGACCTCGAGAAATTCAATCGGGGTCCAGGGAGCTTTGAGGAAGCCCCAATCATTGACTCTTCTCGGAACCTTTGCCGAGGCTCAACCTAAAAGCGTACTCAATCCCCGAACGACTTCGGTCCATCCGTTCTCGGTATATTTTTCTCCTTGCGACAGCAGATAGAACGCAGCGTGCTTGTGCACAGGCGGTAAATTAAGACAAATGCACGGGACTTTTAAAACAGGCGTCTGCCTCTCGTCGACAGGTACCTCCCTTTCTCGCTGGTGATGTACTACGAGCTGGTGGCCGCGTACTCCGGGGGATGCCACGTGCTATGGGAACTCCTGGCTGACCAACGGATGCCACTCAAAGGTCCCCCACTGTGCTGTATATTGCCGCCTTGCTGCGGCCAAGGTCCCATTCTCACCCGCAAGAGACAGCGGCTTATGCGAGCGTTCATCTACCAACTGCTCGGAGTTCCGGCGCTCCTGATTGGAATCATTTTCATTTGCACTCTGGTCGGCATCCATCCGGGAGACAGGGTGAGTAGACGACCTCGGCGCCGACAACAATGGCCACGCTTGGTCTACGGAGAAAGATTCTCAACATTCTTGACTTGTAAACGTTCATCGGAGTCTTCGGCCTCTGACCCCCGAGGGACAGTCTGGCTGGTCGGTCGGACGATCGCCCTTCCGTCTAACAATCTGTCCGGCCGTCTACTTCTCCGGAGAGGAGGCTCACGTAGGAGTTCGTTTTCAGCTCGAGGCCACGAACGCGTCCCCGTACCTGATGTTGATCCAAGCGCTTTCATTCGTGCTGGGGACGTACGCTCTGGTCATCTGCGTCAAGCTGGCAGCTAACCATCTACCTCAGCACGGTCTCCGGCGGAAGTTCACCGTCTTTCACCTGCACTACACCGTGACGAGATTGCAGGTGAGAGGAACGGAGCTGGCGGCGAAATAAGCCAAGTCAGTCGTTCGGTCTGAATATTTATTGGGCACCCGTTTCTTGAGCACACTGCGAAACGATTCCCGTATTAGCATTGAGATGGGTAATTTAAAAGGATTCCTCGAACGAGACCCACGACGGACGGACCGAGGCGCGGAGACGCTTCGGTGCGACCTAGTCGGGGAGATCTTGAGCACCCGCAACGACATCTCCGCCAGCTTTTCCATGAGCGACTCTCGGTGGGAATTCACGTCGTGACGGCTTCCTTTTCACTGGATTCCTCGGAGGGCGAAGCACGTTCGCCAGCGGGCGAGTGAGCGACCGAGAAAGCGAGCGAGGTCGACCACGCAGCTTTCGGAACAGGAGGTTACGACGACGAGAACACTGCAGATGCCGCCGTCCGTTTGATCGTGAGGTCCGACTGCACGATGATGGTGGCGGGAGCATTGTTGTCGGGGCGGGATTGGAGCCCAGCTTGGAGGCAGAGACTGCTCTCTCCTCTTCTTTCTCCTTCTCGATTAGGGACCTGTCTGGGACTCTACGTATTATGCGTCGACTTTCGGAAATGATTTTTGTCTCCGGTAGTACCCATGTGGATGAGTTGAGGGGGAAGACAGCACGCGATATCCCAGCAGAAATCTCAGATTGGATGAAGGCTCGGACACGGATATACGAAAAATTCGCTCAGCGAGTATTTTCTTGATTCCAGGTGATTTTTTTCAAACTTACTGGACTCACGTCGAGTCTACCTTGTATTCCTCCACTGTCTTCCATGGCTTCTGGTATATGTGAGTATAATAGACTTCATTTATAGATTCGATTCTATGGGCACGGAAGTCGAAGAACCATGCTCGTCGATGCAGGGGCTTCGACATGCGATTCGCTGACCGACGCGATGGTCGAGTGGGTAGCGCCACCGATCCCCGCTTGCTCCTGCCCTTGTTCTGGAGAGGCTTCCCGTGAACTTTCCTCCATGAGCGTCTGTCGGTGAAATAATGCGATGCATCTTTGCAAATGTTTTCCTCGAGCTCTGCCTAGACGTTCAATGGGGATAGATAAATCTACGGCCCTTGTTGACCAGACATGCAGGACCAACCTTCATTCTTCCGGGTACATTCACTCACTGGATCTCGGGAGCGGTCCCTTATCGGCGATGACGAGACGTTGAACTCCGGCCAGGGGAAGTCGAGACATAGAACAGTAACTCCTATGTAGGTTAGATTTTCGGCGCCAGATGAGCGGTCGACCTTTAACTGGCGCGCCGACCGTCCGAGCTTGCGGTCGTCTAGCGCGCTGTGTCGTGATCGGAAGAACTCCTCCGATGGGCCATGGTTAATTTCCTAGGAGAGAGCCCATGGACACAATAATTGAAGAGTTGTCCATTTCTCTTACAGACATGAGCTGCGCCATGTTGATCGGACAGTGCTTCTTGATGAGCACTGTGTCGCAGTACTTCTTCCTTCATCCTCCACCTGTCAGTCCAATTCCAGGTAGCGTTGTGACCAACGGGAAACACGTTCATTCGGAGCGGCCTTGCCCGAACTGTGAACAACCTTCCTTGGCTCCGACGAACACCGAGTACGCCGAAGAGACCTTTTCAAGCGACAACCCCAGTCAGTCGCTGAGCGGTCCTCGCGCCGTCACGAGAAGCCACGCGCACCTCGGAAGAGCCTACAGTCACCCCGTGACCCGCCTGATCGGCACCGTCGGTGGTCACGCGAATTTTCAGAGTCTTTCATTGAGAAACGCAACGGGGAACACGGACCCTCTTTCTACGAATCGCCAACCCGCAAATCGAGCCAATCTCTCACTGGATTTAAAGCAAACGCACACGATGACACTGGAGCGTCGTCAGCGACGCCAGCGCCTGCAACGTAGCGGATCACTTGAAGGACTCGACCTTGAACGCTCATATGGAGCTCGGCTGCATCAACCGCTTCGACAGCAGTCGTTGCAGCAACCTCAGACGCATCGTCTCTACTTCGGGACGGATCTACAAGAACAACATATGCGTCTGCTGCAGGAGCGACGGGACTTTCTCGAACGCCGGGAACGTCTCAAGCGCCAGGAACGTTTGGAACGTCGAGAATTGGAAGACCTGCAAGTTCTCCAGAGTCAGCGTCGAGAGTTCGAGCATCAACAGAGACGGCACGAGCTCTTCAACCCGATGATGACTTGCTCCCTGGACGAGGCGTTGCGGATACGACAGTTACGAGAACGCCAAGCCCGAACTTGGCGGGTTTCGGTCTCGGGCGGGGAACGTCTGTTGAACGGCAGCAGAGGAGCTGGCGGCTGGCCTGTTTCATCTCTAGAAGAAGTGACTCCATTGACACCAAGCGAGGATCTCGATTCGGATCTCTGGACTAATGAGAGTCGCTGGTTGAGGTAAGTCCAGGTCCAATCATCATCCATCGAAGTCGATGGTGGCAAACGGAATCGCGTATATAGCTATCTCCCTTGGATACGATTCTTGCGTGTTCCTAGGCTCAATTTCTCCCCCCGTTCCAGACCTCACGTACTCAGCGATTGTTGGAGCTCACCGCCGAGGACTACGATAGACTCTCGTTTCCGGACTCGGAGTTATGAGGTCCCCATCGTGGCTCCAGAATGGCCCGTCGCGAGCGTTGCAGGTGAAAGTGCTGAAGATTTCTGTTGACAAGCACTCAAACGACCACCTCGCAGCGATTAGATGCCGACAGTTGTTTGTTCGGACTCTTTTTGGTTCGAACGCGGTTCTCCTACTTCAGCAGGGGGAGTTGAAATCCGAGAGATCGGAGGACCTCCGGCTGACGTCACAGGATAGTCTCAGGGAATAGATAGATGAGCTGGAAATGCTCCATCAAGAAATGCGGCGAAAGGATTCTAATGCGGGGAGGGAAGAACCCTAGGGTATTCCTTTTTCGCGCAAACGACGTCAACGCTTTCGTGGGACCGGAATTCTCACAGGAGCCCTGGAGCTCCTGAACATTCACGGGTGGAGACATTGGAATTGGGTTAGGACACGTATGGTGTTTTTTCTCTTTGGGAGTCTACGATCGGAGAATTTTTCTACTCAACGTTATACCTCACTGTTGTCAAAGTTGCTATTGACTGCAAACAGATGAACGGACGTTCTTACTCGCTGTACGGCCGTGATAATCCGCGTACTCATTTTTCATAGGAAGATGTTTGGAATCACGATCTTATTGCTGTAGACGTCTACTGATGCGAACACGTTCGAAGGATCAAAGACGATAGCACAATTGAGCGGGCTAACAGAAGAATCGTCGATCAGAGCGGAAGTATATCAACCTAGGTCGCAGAATGAAAACCAAATGAATAACTTTACTCCCTCCGAATGCATTAACGGGAGCCAGTTCAACTTCTTTCATGGTCATCATGCTAGCTGCATGATTATGATGATTTTGTCGATGATAATAATCAAGACCGCATTGGCACCCCATGATTCAGAGTCGACGGCCAATACACGAACACGGCGGTGCTGAAGAAGCGTGGATGCCATAGGCGATTCCGAGCCCAACCTTACCCGATAGGCTTTGGGGGCTCATCGTTTCCACGGGTATCTCAGCCCTCAACTCCATTCTTTGAAGTTCGGCCCTCAAGTCGACTGCCATGCCGCTGACTCAGACTTGATCTCATATCGATTAGCTATGCTCGCGAATGAATTCCCACAGGCCGGAATACCTATCCGACTCGGCTCCTTCGATTTCGTAACATTTCACGCCTGACACCGTAGACCATCGGAAAGCGGCGATATACCAGGGTTATTGGCTATCCCATGCGAGCAGATGATCCCCGGGTTACCTGTACGAGAACATAGAGATCCGTCTTTTTTATCGACGAGGCATCGACGGAATGTTTCGCTGGTTTCGAATGCGGAGAGCCAACTAAGAGATCTTTCATTATCGAGAAGGTTTATATGAATCAAATATGACGATGATATAACTTCGGAAGAGCGAGCGACAGGATCACTCATGGACAAAGAAATAGACCATTATATCGAAAGTACATATGAGGGCACGGTTACATGCCGTGTCAGGGGGCCGAACGGGCGCGTATGCCGACGACTGTAATCAAAGATGCTAGAAGCACTAGGTGCGGGGGACAGCGTCGTCTGTCATTCGAAAAAATAATAATACTAATATCGAAGTGATAGATAGCTCTAAATCGTTCCTAGCGCGAGAAGAGTATCATACGTAGCCTTATGATCAAGTATTCCATCAACCAATCGTTCAATCAAACTATCAACCGATTAATCAATTAATTCCCTATTTGCTGTTGTCGAGCTAGCCATAAGTAAGAGTGAGAGAAATGACGTTTAAGAGAGCGTTCGCTTCAAGTTGCGTTCTTGTATAGCGAAATGAGCGATCGGACCACGGAACACATACAATAATTTCGTTCGGAGCTAGGTATCATGACTGCAGGCATCACATTGATGCGATCTGAGACCTCAGAACTTGTTGGTTTTTAGCCGATGAGAAGTCGTTGATGAAGGGGCCGGAGAGACCCCAGAAACAATCGTCATTGTTATAACCATAATTGAACGATCAACGCTTCTACTTCTCCTCTATACAACAATCATCATCGATAATCATTGTTATTTGTAATCCCTGTAATTGAATTTTGACTTCATGGATGGGGGATCGTTGGTTTCCTTCGCGGAGCAAGTTCGAAGCAAATGTAAGACTCACTCCTCGCAGTCGAGTCCAAAGTAAATAAATAGTCAATGTATTCAATTGTGTTCTGTCCCTCGAGCTGAACGAGCCCAGCCCTAATTCTTTCACCCTACACATTTCCGGAAGAGTGGAGCCTCTCATGGCTCGGACCGGATGATTTCCCTCGAGCCTGTTTATGCAACGATCTTGGGGTCGAGTCAGGAAGCGGGGAAAACGGGAAATCGGGAGGATTGCGAGCGCGGAGCCTCTGTCCTCGGCCGAAGTCGAGCTCAAACTCCCGTGACAGGCTGTGCTAAAGTACTGGAGACGTCTAGCACCCGAATTCGATCGGTGTCTCGACTATGCAAGATCTTGTCATATCATCCTGCTTCTGAGAGTTCCCAGGGTTGTCTCTTCGAGTCTCTCGGCGTGCGATTACGGAACACACCCGCGCTCGAAATCTGCAAATGGGAAAAAATCGCGAGCTCACGGAGAGAATCCTGCAAAAAAACTTGAGGCTCACTGGGAGAAAACTGACACGCAATGATTTTCATGATTCGTTCACTTTCGAACGCATAGATTTTTATTTTCCGATTACTTGGATGGTCTCAGCGGTTCCAGGATCGCCTATGACAGTTGAATGTCCCCCTGAAGAATCGAGGAATAATCCAGACATCGGCTCACGTTATCAGTCATCATCAAGAGTATAGTCTACCAAGTCCCGCGCCTCCACGCTCCCAGTAGTCACAATCATGTCAGCTTCGAGCATTCCTTCCGGATCAAAATCGTAGTCAATTTTTTCTACTCTATATCGGCAGTCTGTGTAGATTTTCAAAAATGATCTCAATTCGAAATACATAGCTCACACCGTATCATATTTCATAATTTTCCCGATGGATGCCTTCGTCTACTGAACTACTCGAATCCTAAAGATCGACAGGAAGTTTTCAAATCGTCGAATCAAGATTAGCGTAGGGGGAAGAGGTCTGTAGGATCTTAAAAATATTCGGTGAAGCTCAGCTCTCCGAGTGTCAAGCTTTCGGAAACCCAGCTCCCCGAGCCTATCTCTACGAGCCTAGAGTGAATGGGACGAGTCTGTGTGGGATCGGGTAGGAGTCGGGGCGAGGATTTGGTAATTCTCCTCTGCGGGTCGAATAGTGTGCCAATTTAGGACGACGGACCTTTTTCATCTCCAAGGTGTCTAGGGCCGATCACAAAAATGTCTCTCAATGCTCAATGAATAGGATCAAATTGGTCGATATCTGCTCTTCAAACTATTGTAGATTGATACAACGTCATTCAGTCTCCTCCAAGACTCGACTCCGCTCTAATCACAACTTTTGGCCTGGACGGCTTCTGACAAATCGTTATTCGACCATAACAAGAATAATATTAAAATATCTCTTGTCTCCTCCCTCCTGCGCACAAGTCTGAACTGACCCCGGGCACCCAATCAGAATCGGAGCTGATTTTCTGATGAGAGTTTTCAGCTCGAAATGTCCGTGGCACAAGGCCCTCTCGCGAAACAAGCAGATCGCGACGACGTAAGGATCTTCGCCTACGGTCTCTGAGAACTTCCTTCTGGAAACACGAGTCTGGGTTGAATGTCGGACCCGTTCCTGGGATGTGTTCTGGCGGAACGAATGAAACCGGTCGTAGAATTCAACCCTTTGGAGGACTTCGATCATGTCCTCTACATCGAGGGTAGAAGAACTTCTGGAAAGTTCTTCACGACGTAGAAATGTATCGAGTTTGCCGTCTGAAGCACGCAGGCGGATCGCTTTCGTACGGCTTAGTTTGACCACGCTTCAGCTCCTCTGCCAAGATCCAGACGATAGAATGTGAGCTTTTCCAGCCGGTAGCAGCAAAGTCATTGGCATCGCGACAGCTTAAGAGCAAGTTCTTTTTACTCTGCTAGCGGAGTCCCTCTCCTCTCGATCACTGGCTGCTTCCGTCTGATCCTTGCTCCGAGGGTTTCCTGTGGAGCCGCCTAACTGTTCACGCGTCTTCTAGCCCCTCGAACTCTGTAGCCATACACTTGATGGATTCGGGAGAGTTTCAGCAATACCATAACACATATATAGATTCTCTGCTCCTCATCAACCTCATATATGGTGGAATAATATATGCTCTCTGTTCAACGTCTGCCCTCTGTTACCTACATATCTGAGAGTGTGCATATTTATATATATAATAATATATATATTCCAGTCAATCAATCGATCGAAACTCCGCACTCATATACACATACATATGGTTACATAGATGAAAAAAAGGGCACTTGCCCGCTCGCGCATCATCTAGGAGCGAGTCGACAGAGCTAATTCCCAAATCATTCATCAAGGATCTCTTGCGGAAGCTTCAGTCGGGGTAGACGGCTCCGAAGGCCGACGGGAGGGAGGAGCAGGGGTAGACTGATTCGAATCTCATCCCGAGATATCAGCGTGACTCTGTTAGGGTCTCAGTGAATCAATAACTTAATGGGTTTTTAGATTCGATCTCTCCTTAATCTTGATAGCGGAGAGATTTTAATTTCAATCACAATGATGATAGAAGTAGTGTCGCTCTCATCAAACGCAATAATGGTTATACCATCGAAGTCGATAGGGATCAATTATGTATAATGTTACAATCGATATACCTATAATAACCTTAATATGTTCAACATAGTAAGTGATTGTGTGCGTTCCCTCGTACACTCAAAATAGTTCTGTTCGTTAGTTTGTCTCTTTGTTTCCCGCTGCTGATCCGACCGAGCCCCTCTGCTGGCCTTTCGCCAGCCGTAACAGATATGAGCGTCCTGAGAGTCCCGAGTTCCACGCTTGAAAGAGTGGGTCGATACTGCGTAGTCTTTGCCGTCGCGTGGGTTCGCAGGTCGAATTTTCGGGACGGATGCGGAGGGGTCCGTGACGACGTCACGCTGCGGCTGGTCCAAGTAGATCCGACTTGGTAAGCAATTGTCCCGGCCGCAACTCTTGCCAGTCACGTGTCCGCGTCGCGTCGTGGGAGCTCGAGGGGATTCCGAAAGAGTCGGAGGACGATCCTCGCTGACTTATCGATAATCTCGAGTCTACCTCGCTCGTCTGCTCAAGCTCTCAACTCTCTCGGGAAGGTGGCTCAAACGCGTCGGTCGCGAATCCGATGAGTGGTACACTCAATGCACTCGCGGAGGCTTCCGAGATTCGCCAGGAAACGAACACGATCAGAAGAGTCATTCATCTCTAATAGGTCATATTTTCTCCGTTCCCTACGCGATGTGACGAAGCGAAAAAAAAGTATATCAAATATAACATCATCTCGTCGATAGCCGCCCCATAACAAAATCGGAGGCGGATTAGGTTGCAGATGGTCGCTTTTTACAAAATGTTCAAATTCTGCCGTCAGCCTTTAAACATCGCTGGATCACAGCTCATCACCGCCTCGGAAGGCTTTCACGAACCCTCCTGGTCGTCGAACTCATGCGCTTTCATGTCATCTCGGTATTTTCCAACACGTCTCACTTGGTCTCATCTCCGGCTCGTATGTCCGGTCATATGGTGTGCTCGTATATTCCGGGTACATGGATCGAATCTTTCGACCATCTCTCATCCGGGGGTCCCGAGTGGTCTGAGTACCTCGGAGGGTACTCTTCCCTCGCGGTATTTTGGGCATTGAATTCCGACTGACTTTCGCTATTTCCACCTCTTCGTCCCACGTCCTAGGCCTGGATGTCCCAGATCTCGGCGAGGAATGGTGGAAGCTTCTTGTTCTGTTTGACCGTAAGACTGAAGCAAATTTCAGAGTTCAAGCTGCCCAGCGTTCGCAGCTCCGTCAGAATCGCGAGTAGTTTCGCGAAATGTGCCGGCGTTCCTTGACTCTGCCGGTGATTTTCCGAATACATGCGCAGCGTGTTCGTGTAGAACATCTGGATCTGTTCCACTTTCTCAGGTTCCAGGAGGCTCGGTCTCTCTGAAATGCGGAACATCGAATGTCAGCCAATTATCAGGCTTGATCAGATTTGGAAGAATCGGAGGATAACCCGACAATGGAAATTGCCTACGATAGCTCTTTGCGTGCTCATGTGCTCAGTCCGAACTCTCTTGATATTCTCGATTTTTTTCCGCGCTCATCTCTTTAGGTATCGATACAATTTTCTGCGCGGCGAGGAACAACCCTACACTCCGTGATGCCTATCATCTCCTGAACATCTTTTTCCCTCGTTCGTTTCCCCTCATCGCCCCTCCTCGGTCCGTACCAGACGCCGGGGATCAGTATAGGCGCCGTCTGTCGACGGTCCCGCCGTCGTCGAGAGCGCTGGAGCTCCACTCTCCTCGATTCTGTCCCCAAGCCGAACTCCATTTCGCAAACTTACCCGAAAAGATGACGATTGCCGTGAGCAACGCGTATTCGGCATTATCCACTCGAAGTTGACACATTTTCCGGCAGAATGGGAACAGCGCATCCGCGCTATCGCCGACAGACGCCGATCTGTAGTTTTCCCTCGTGTAGGGCTGATTGTTGGCAAAAACGATCGAATCGGTTTTGACATCGTATTTTCGGGCGCCTCGCAACATCATCATTTCGCTCGAGCAAGCTTTGAGCAATGTGATCTGGTCTTCGCGCTGAAGTGTGTCGAAGCCGGGTACCCGTTTGCTGAACTCGACGATGAGCTGCACCGTGAGAATGGTCACCTCAGTGATGTGCTGGAATCGTTTCTGATTGTCTTCGTCAGTGTCTCCGAGGGTGAAGGCGGTGATCTTCGAGAAGTCCTCTAGTGAGGGACTCTCGAATTCCTGTTGATAGTAGACCAGCTTGTTGATGAGCGACTCCTGGTCTGGGGTGAGAGGCTGGGTCTGGAACGGAATAGTTTCGATCAGATGGGCTCAGTGCTGCCACTCAGTGCGGATGTCGGTCGGGAGCTCCACCAGCGATTCGTGAAGAACTTGAGTTGAACTCTGTCCAGTCGAGAAGTCCAGCATTCATTTCATTCATTACTTTTGACTTACCTTCCTCATCATACGATTCAGAGCCATGAGATTCGGCTTCTCGTCTCTGCTGTGGTTGTTATTAATGATGGTGGTACCACCGGTGTTACTGTGGATGGTGCTGCTTTCAATGGGCAGCGGAGGCGAATCTTTTGCTTCATCAGGCCGTTTTTTGCTGTGCCTCTTCATGACATTCTGAGATTCCGGGACGACGCATTCGGGTCTCATACCGACCCGAAGGCACTTGCGCAGTCGGCACTGTTGGCATTTGCGCCGCATGTACATATCGATTTCGCAGACATCGCCGTATTTGCACGTGTACGTCTGGTTTTTCGTAATCGATCTTCGGAAGAAGCCTTTGCACCTGCAAGAAGGAGAAGGCGTGACGCGAAGGCGCACAGATAAGCTCCGTTCCGATATGAATTCCTTTCATCCTCTACTCGGCTAATAATTCTTCTCGGGGAAGGTCGATCGCTCACCCTTCGCAGGTCAAGGCGTTGTAATGGTATCCTGAAGCGCGATCTCCGCACACGAGGCAAAGTTCCTCCTGCTGTCGAGGTAGCGGACCTTTCTTGGGTTTCGCGAACTCCTGACAATTTCCGCCGCTCCCATTGCTTCCGATGCTTCCCGTATTGCTGTTGTTGTTGTTGGCATCGGGCGAGTTCGCCGTGATCTGGTGATGGGGTTGTGCCGGTTGCATGCCTTGAATCACCATATTCCTAGGCGAAAGCTCCCCCGGCAGCGCTGGGAAGTAGCCGGTCTGGTGAAATGAGGTCTGGGGTGCTGGGGGCGAAACGCTGTCCTTCCCTGAAATAGCAGAGCCTCTCTTTAATGGCTGCGATAGATTCGCCGGTCAGAAGTTCGAGCCGCCGTTTTCTGCCAAAGTACTGAGGGAGCAGTTCCACGAGAATTAGGCTCAGAGATCGAGTCGAGTCAATTATCATAGAAGAAGAGCAATAGTCCAATTCGAAGAGCACTCGGTACTTGCGCTCATGATGCGCCAATCCATTTGGAAAGAATGACAAACCGCTCTTGTTCCCGCCCGTATTTGCTGCCGCTGTTAAGTCCTACGACACCGGAGGATAAGCCGAAAAGCATCCGCGAGATGGAAAAGAACGATCGAACAGTGCGATGCACCAGCACTCCCTTCCAGCCAACACGCTGACTCAGACCAGCGCAGATTATTCCCGATAAGGAATCGTCACGAATACTACTCAATTCAATCCGGTAAAAATTCGCGGGGGGATAGCAATCGTTTATTCGGAATCTGCGAGAACGATCTCATGAATACTCGTCCAGAACGACGAGAACCTTTGATGAAACGCCCTTGATGTTTAGGAACAAGGAAACATGAAAGTAATTGACGGCGAGCTGGAATACAAACACTCTATCGACATCCTCGCATTTTTAGCGCGGAGTCGCGTATGCGGAGCGTACCGCAAAAACATTCCTCCGAAAAATCTCCAAGCGCTCCACGATGATGTTGGATAATAATTTTCTACGAATCTCAGTTGTTTATGTGGCGCCGGCAACGCTACCGCGAGATGCGAGTGTTATTCCGAAACTCAAACAACTCAGACAGCTTTTTTTCTCGTCTCAAGGACGGGAGGTGTAACTACCAACACGGAGCTGCCTGTTAGAGACGTTCTGTTTGGTTGGATTTCTTCTCGAGTTTCTGAAACTATCAACAAAAGCAGTGGCTGCAGCAGCAGCAGCTCGATTTCAGAAACATTCCATTCTTGTGTGCGGATTCCGACGGCGAAAGTTACGTCAATATAATATCTTATTCTCAATCGACATCGTGCCTGAGTGATCGTCAGGTTCCTGATTTGTTGCGCGTACAGTTCACGCGTAACAGACTCTGCAGTGTTTCGGGGGTACGCGAGAGTTATGAGCGCTTTTTCTATTGTGTGAGTGCCAACACGGCATCATCAATGTATACAAACACCGAGCCTGGACGAGGCGTCCACGCTCTCAATCACGTGCAGGATGACTCGTGCCAACAATAGTGTCCCATTTGAGCTCTCAACTGAGCGGCGATATCGTTCTCATGTTCTCCCACGTATTTTTGAGCCACAAAGCAAGTTAATTCGCGCGAAAACCCAATCGAGAAAAGAGCTCCGATCATCTCCACGAATCGTCATATTCTGAGCATCCATTCGACTCGACTAGAATCGACCGATTCGAGAAGTATCTACGGACAAACATCTGCATTTAGGAAACGGTGGTTGCGATCCCGATTTCGATGACGCATGTGATAATCGACGAATCAATTGCATCCACGGTTTTCTCCTGAGGGATAGAGCTGCGACCGGATGATGGATTCGGTGAAGGTACTGCGGGTCTCGGCGACGCCATGGCACGACTTCGAAATGGCATACATGTCGGCGATGGGAAATTAGGATTGTGCCAACCCCCGCCCCCCACCTCAAAGAGGGGCCTTAGTATCGAGTCTCCGTAGAGATTTTCCCCTGAATGCTGCGACGCTGCATGACGGATTCGCAGATGTTTCAGTATGGCATCGTTCAAGCGCCAGCGATCACTGAGAGCACGGATCATGATGCCGTTTCTAGTATTGTAGTCGTCGTGGTTGGGTGAGCCGCCACCGCATGTCGAGACGCGGAAGACGCCCCCGTGGTGTTCAACGTCAAGCAGCAACAGCCGCAGCAGTGTAGTAGTCTCGCCAACCAAACCGACGTAACCATAACAACGGGGCCCCACGCCAAAACTTCTGTGGGCTTTTTCTTCTTCAGCAGCGTTCTCTTCAGCGGGCAGGTAGAGAAACCGGCAAGCGAGGAGTCAGTTCGATAGCGAGCCAACTTGCCATCCCGAATGGCAGTCGGGCAGCCGGCAGGCTGGCACACAGCAACGGCAACGACGACGACGGCGGCGATAGCGGCGGCAAAGCAGCCCGAGTCATGTCTTCTGTTTTGCGAAGACGAAGTTTCTGGCCTTCAGAGCCGAAGAAAAACACTTTGAAAATTCGGAGGCGGCTTCAGAAGAACGCTGCAGCTCCGACAGCCACTAGCAGCAGCGGCATACGACGGTAAAGACGACGAAGATCGAGAAGGCAGAAGAATTGTGCCGTCGGACGAGAAAGCATCGGTTGTTCCGCTTTGGAAACTCTTTCGGTTCTCCGAGCGCTTCGTCGGTGACATTACTTCGGGAGAGAAAGCAAGCGGCCGACCAACCAGCCAAGCAACCAACCAACCAAGCGAACCAGCCAGAGGCATTTCGGGAAATCGACAGGGCCCGTGTGCGGACGCTGCGATGCCGTCTGTAGTTGATCTATTGAGAGACTTGAGACTTCTTCCCTTGCGGTGGGAATGACACTTCTCGATCGCGCCAGCGATTCTAACTGAGACTGACCAGACAAACGACGCTCCTTGAGAGGACAGATCGGTCGAAGTTCCAGCTTTTTTGCCACTTTCACGCGCACAGGAATCAAGCAGCTCCGCGAATAGGTGCTCCCTCGCGTTTTCGCCTCCGACTTGGTCATATCGGGGATGTATGGACTAGCCGTTGTCACCGGCAGTTGTGGACGCGCAAAAAAAGCCTCGGTAAACATGAATGTTCCCGACTTCATTGGAATTACCAGCTCCCAGATACCTCTAACGAGCGACGGGTCGTTTGAATGGAGAAGTAGAGTTCGGGGAGACTTCAGTACTCTTCGCGCACAATTACAGAAATCAGATATGTACCTGCTGGCCGACTACCACGGCTCGCGTGACGGGGTACTCTCGCAGAAAGAACGACTGAGTGAGACAGAAAAAAAACACATGAATCGTTCAGTGACTGATCCTCGATGAGCGAAGTTCCACCCAAGACTGGAAACGCCAAGTCACCAGCGACAGCGGCGACGTGGAAACGTCAGATTCCAATCCAGTTCGTCTCCCGAGCGGCATTCCAGAAATTGTGGGGATGAATGGGCGCCGTCTCTATGGAAAATTGTTTTTTCGCCTCTCCATTCGAACCGCGGTTTTCCCCTGACTGGTCGAACTACCGTGAGCATCTCCGCCCATTTTCGATTCTACTTCTCAGGTTATGGAACAATTTATGTAAAATATACAGAGTTCGGCTGTCATAACCTTTTATGTAAGCGCGGTTTCTTCAGAACATCGCAGACGCCAAGCAGTTCCGGTTGTAGAGCTCAGTGTAGTTGTGGAAAATTGGCATTTAGGAAACAGCCGCAGGTCAAACGAGATCAAGTGCCTCGGCGGGATGAGTAAAATAGGAGGAAGAGCGAAAAAATAGAAATAATGCAGAAGGAACGAACAAAGCGCCAAGAAGCTGAATGAGTGGTTTTTCACGCAGATTAAACACAAACAGAACCTGTTCTGCTTTCGAAAACCCCAGATAGGCTAAGGGAAATATGGCACAACAATGTGAAGAAGCAACGGGCTGAGCCACGAAAATTTTTGGTCGAGGATAGAGTGGAGACGAGCTGGGAGGAAAATCGAAAAAAAAACAGGAGCCGTTATCAGCATGACAGGGCTCTCCATAGGCCCTAAGCGAGGAGACATGAACGCTGTCTGGATCGTTCGAGCGGTGACCGCCATTCGGCGAAGAGAAAATGCGAAGGTTAAGGTCACAAGGAACTGCTCGCTCGGCTCTGAAAGGAGCGAGAACAGAGCGGTAGGTCGCCGACGAGCCTGCCTGCCGGGCGAACGATGGAGTGAGCGAGTGAGCGAACAAGCGCAGACAGACGGAACGGTGTGCCAGGTGCGCCCCAACCAGATCCAGTGTGTAGGGGTGATGAACAGCGTGGCCTCCTTCTTGCTCTCCCAGTTCCCCACTCAAGAAATTTGAACAATGACAGGTCGGATACCGAGCGTATGCACAAAAAAGCAAAAACCGATCTCAGACCTCGGACAGTCGGCCAGACGACCGCGTTCGCGGCTTACGAGAGAGTCTCTCCATTGAAGCTCACGAGCGATGTAGAAAATTTCATTCAGGCATTTCAGATATTCAGAGTCGACTAGAGTTACCGTTCATGCAGCAGACTCTGTCTCCGCCATGAAGGAAATTACGACAGCGGGCAAATGAGAAGATCTAGGCCGGAAGACCAGATCATTGATCGAGATTATCTGTGGGGTCGGAGTACACTGGATTAATCGGTCACGAAGTCAGCTATCAGGATCGGGGCAGCTTATTGGAGAAGCGATAGCCTACCAGTCGATGGATGATTGCCGGGACTCTGCTGAAGCCAGAGGACACTCGATCGGTTCGTCGCAGCTCCGCAGGACTGACTCCGTGAGAGAAGAAAAAAGAGAAGATATCCAGGAGGAATTCCATCGACTGTATATTAAAAAGATAGCGTCTCTCGTTCTCGATGTTTCCCTTAATTCCGTTCCCATCGCGGAGCTGCTTTCGAGTCACTTCTGTATTGCCGCCGTAGATGGACTCGAGTATCTTCCGAAACTCATTGTAGACCGAAACCTTTCACGTAGTGTTTTCGAAAACGCCGGCAAACCTAGCAAATACGACGGCCGGAGCAGCAGCTGATGGAATGGGCGTTGGCATAAATAATAAAATCGTTAAATGCCCAATATATTCCGGATAAGAGGCAGACTTGCTCAAAAGACAGCGATGGATCACATCCACCGTCCTGTTTTGTCCTCATCGGCATCAGCGCGCCATTGTAGCGCATTCTGCGTGACCCGACGTGCTTCACTAGCGAGGAACAGTAAATAGAAGCTCCACTCTTTTCGCAGTTCCGCGCAGCAGGAAAGACTGTTTGTCAGGACGCAGAGGCTTCCTCGCTATGGCTTCCTTCGTCGACTTTTTCCGCCGACCTAAGCAGGACT